ATTTATAAAGTTTTTGATAAAAATTAATTATAATCGCTCAAAATATTTCATACCTAGAAACTTATAATGTTATGGTTATAGTTAGCACCGGTAGTCCAACACACACACACACAATGTTTTGTCAAATATATGTAGGTGTAGAAATCGGACACTTATAAACTATTAAACAATTTGTAATATTAACTACATTAAAGTATACAGTGCAACTTCTCTTGGGTAAACTTCTCTTGAATGAACACCTCCTCATAATGAACGGTTTTGAAATCTATGTTGGATTTCCTATACTAATAATGTTAAAATAACCTCCGTTAGGTAAACTTCTCCATAATGAATACCTCCCCATTATGAACGGATTTATAGAGATTAAGATAAAATTTTCACTCCCAATAATGAACAAATATAATAATAAGCACATGATTCCTAAAAGTAGTCAAAATAGTTTCTAATCTAAGACTTTAAGCAAACAAAACACACATTTTTATATCCAGTTTTATTCAATATTGTAAAAGATGTGTATTCATTCTCTGATTAGTGAACTATAAATTATAACTTTATATCTAGAGACTCATCCAATGCTGAAATATTTAAGAATTGGACAAAATTAAAATTAAATAATTTAATTCTCATTATAATACAGTTAAACAACTAAAATTATTGATTTTTTAAAATATTTGTAATTATTAATCAGAAATTGGACATTTTTACACGAACCTCTCTTGGATGAACCCTCCCTATAATGAACACTTTTGTCGTGCAACTGGCCGTTCATTATAGAGAAGTTGCACTGTATATATATGATACAGTATAACTACATTGTATATTAATAATCTAGTTAATACGACAATTTATACACGTGAAATATAATCAGGCGTTAGCATCACGTTGACATCACATTAATGTAATCAATTATTATGCCCTAGCTAAATTGGAGAGTATTGAAGGCCCGACTCTTGAACAATAGCATTGCGCGTAAATTAGATGTATTTTATACGGATATGACTGAATCGATGGTATCAATTGTGACGGACATTGTGTTTAACGCCATCGACCAGACGGATAGTATGGACGACACGACCGCTGAGATTGTGGCTCAACTCGAGTCCCGATACACTCCAGGAATGTGGCAGTGCTTAGCCTACGACAAAATGTCCGGCAGTCGCTTTGTACGCCATAAATGCGGCATGTTCATTCAGGGTAATGTCGGTCATTTAAGTCTGATTATATTTCATGCTTATCAGCCAGAAATGTAATTTTAAATATGATTTTTGCTTATATTTTGTATTTATATAGCGCTTTTTATCTAAATATTAAATTGCATAGTATTGTTTTATTATTACCGTGCTTTAATAGTCACTAACATGTTTTGTAATCTGATTTATAAAGTTTTTGATAAAAATTAATTATAATCGCTCAAAATATTTCATACCTAGAAACTTATAATGTTAAGGCAGTTATATTGTATTTAATTAATTAGTAAAATGATATAAAATATTTTCTCTGTATAAATTAGTAATTATTTAATATCAATATTAATCATTTTATTGATTTATACTAATAAATAATATACAAATTGGATAGTTAACAATATATTATATTAGTAAACTGAGATTTTTGGTATATGTCAATATTTAATTTCTTTAATTGTTTTATTGATTTATGCAAATAAAAATATAACATTTGAATAATTACATTCTTTATTGATGGTTATTTAAATATGTTTATGAAGAGTAAAATATATTGTACATAGTAGAAATTTTTATAAATGTATTTTATTAATTAATCAGTTTAATTTTATATAAAGTAATAGTCCATTTTTAAACATTTAAATGTTATTTTGATCAATAAAATTAATCTAGTAACTAAAAATATAAATGTAACTAATATTACATTCTGGGTTACATAGATGAAATATGAATATTAAAATAGAGTCGGTTATTAAATATTACTATTCACTAATACCATACACAATTATAAACACAACTAATTCCTATTATTGTGGTCAAATGTATAACAAAACACTTAATCATGATAATGTTATAATTGCCAGTCAAGTAATTACAATTATACAATTTTTACAATATTTATACGCAACTCAAGTGATGTAGTGGTGATCTGAACAATGAGCAAGCTTGTACTGTATTACTATTACAGAACATGCGAATGGCCACAAACACCGGAGTGATAAAATTGATGAATAGCATTATTTATGTGGTAAGATTAATTGAGTTTTCAATAAATTCAGCCCAATGCTTGTGGCCAGAGATGGTTGTGGTCACCATTATATCACTTCCGTCGGAATTGGTTGAGTCGAAATAAAGACTTTAGAATAATTTATTTCTAACCTAATATATGTTTTAGGTAAATAGAATTTTTGGTACATTTTTATCAATTTTTAAATACATTTCATGTAATTTGAATACAAAAATCACATTCAACACAGATACTCTATTCCAAAAGGTAAGTTTATGTAATGTACTATATTGAGCATAAATCTAATGATTGATAAATACCATAGGCAGTTACGTCGTTCAACACATACCTGCTCATTCCAGAGCTAGCCAATATTTATAGTGGCGTTCCTATTGACAGCATTTACAACATTAACATTATATGTGGATTAAAATCAATGAGAATTACGTCGATGTTTAGCTTCTTTAAAATGTTTAACTACCAGGTTTAATTAACAATCAATTTACTATACAATCTAGTAATAATTAACTTAATACACTTTTTATAATAAGATTTGGCTAATTGTTGCAGCATTTCTGGTTATCATATCGCTTTTATTAAGTGCTTCTTATAAAATAAAATACCATGATGCGATTTATAGTTTATATCAAACAATAACTAAACAATCGTGTTCATTATTTGTATCAACATCAAATTCAAAACGCACCTCCATGGTAATAATAATAGGCTCATGGTTGCTATTTCTGCTCGTATTAACTATCATATTTTGTAACGATTTATTAAATATCTATATCAATTTTAAATCGGTGCCAATAGTAAGCACTTTGGCTGATGTGGCCAACAGTGATGTGTACGTCTTAACTAAACCACGTAATTTACTATTAATAGCAAAACATTTACCAAGCTACAATAACACAATTACTAATATAATAACCAAGCATAGAAAATATGAGAATGTGCTACATAAGAAAATGAATTCAATTGTTGATGTGATTAGGGTGAATGTATTTGCCGATTTAATACATGGTAAAGTTGTATATTTAGTCAACACTATACTGGCTAAAAAATTTCAACGTAGATATGTTGCATATAAACATCTCTACTCTATTAGCAAGTTTCAATATTTTCAAGACTTTCAATTTTGCATCGTTAGAAATAATAATAAATTTACTCAACAATTAATTACTATGTAAGTTTTATCAAAACAACTATCAATGTCTGAATGTATAATTTTTGTTTACTGTTTATATAGGTACAAGCATATATTTGCTGCCGGGTTATTTAAGCACCATAAGATAATATCCACTATTATATCCAGAAGGATTGATCAAGATAATTTCAAAAATATTATTGAGTTAAATGATAACATTTATAAAATGATTACTTTTGCCGATTTGTTCAGAAACTCAATTTCACTCTTAATTTTAGGATATTTTATTTCAATTATTATTTTATTAATTGAAAGATTATTTCATTCACTTGTTTTGTTAATGAATTTTATTGCTATTTATTTTTATATGCAATAATAATTAAAATGGTCAATTACAATTACTAAATAATATTAGGATTTTAGTAATTATGAAATCATAATAATATTATGATGTTATTATTATAATTTAGATAACTTTTTATTATGTATATAAGATTATAATTGAACTAATTAAATCTTTTGATGCAATATAATAATATAAATCTAATATTTCCATCAATTAATGAAACACTCATATCTGTGTCTCCATTAGATTCACTGATTATTACAATTGAATGCCATTGTGTTGGCAATTCACTAACAATAATGTGTTGTTTTTTGTAATTTTATTATTAAAACAATTAATTTGTGGATTAATGCCGGGCTATAGTAGCGATCGGTTTCCCGACCTGTCGGCCGAAGATCGGGACGAATACACGTGTAGTATATGTCAGGAGATATTTGACTGTCCGGTGACCACAACCTGTTGTCTACAGACGTTTTGTGAGGACTGTATCACACAATGGCTTCAGACAAACACTACCTGTCCTTACGATAGGAAACCATTGACTAGTGGCCAATTATCACGAGCACCAAGGTGAGTATAATTATTGTTATTTATTTTAACAAGGTTCTTTTGTAATGCTATTATTAATTAAAGAGTATATAAAAATTTTAGTTAACAATAGTATAATAGTTATTTATTAATTAAATTGATTAATCCATCATGATGATTTAGAGTGATGTTAAACACACTAGGTCGTTTTAAGATACAGTGCGACTACTGGGAGAACGGGTGCCGCGATGTGATCAAACTGGAAGACTTGACCGGGCATACAGTCAACTGTCGTTATAATGTAGCAAATTGCTCAAAATGCCAGTGCGCGCAGACATCGGGACACAACTGTATTAAAGCGCTTCAGGAATTAAACAGCAAATTAATTGCAGAGAATAAGACATTAAAACTGACAGTACTTTCATTGAAAAGTGATCATAATATTCATCGTGGTAATGGTGCTGACCATGTACTACCTGTACCACAACCATCGGCACCTGTAGCGGTAACGGATGAACCAGCTGTGCCAAATACTGCTTATTATTATCATCATGGTAGTAACGGTAGTAGCGGTGCTGTCCATATTGTGCCAACCGAAGGGCATTACAATCGTACGCGTGATCGCAGGCAGGGATCTCGAGTTGTGCGTCAAAAAATAATATCATGGCTAAATGATGGCAAAATGTAACCAAGTCAAATTGGACAGTTAATTTTTAAATCAATATATCAGTATTTTTAACATGTTTTTAAATAATTTGTAGTTAGATTATATTGACTTTTGTTATATACAATTGACGAGAAGTAATTTTGAATTATGTAATTTATAATTTAATAGACTATTTTATTTTGCTTTAGTTTAGTTAAGTAATTTATTAAATTATTAAAGAGTCACATTTATATATACATTTGTACAGTATATATTTGTAAATGTTTATGATTATAAATACAGACGCCAAGGTTAAAATCAATCAAACAGCGTAAACTGATACAGTGACCAATAAACATTAAGAGAGAAAGTCCCTTCAACATCTATAATTATGAAAATAATAAATATTGTATTGTAGTAAGTAATAATACATAATTTATAATAAAGTAAATTACATTGTGTCTATTACCTTGGGGAGAAAAAATGTGTGTGTGTGTGTGTGTGTGTGTGTGAGAGAGAGAGAGAGAGAGAGAGAGTAAGAGAGTGAAAGACTATTAAAAAAATAAGTTGTTGCTTTTAGTAAGAATGATAAGTCAAATGTTTATCAAAGTAGACGTTTGTGTTTCCATTGGATTCACTGATTATTGTTATTAAATCCAATAATTGTGTTATTTTCACAAAATATATTAACATTTGTGAAATATATTAATATTTTACATGAGTTTAGAATAATTAAATCACAAATAATTAGTGTTATAAATGTCGGGCTATTCAAGTGATCGGTTCCCCGACCTGTCGGCCGAAGATCGGGACGAATACACGTGTAGTATATGTCAGGAGATATTCAACACTCCGGTCACCACAACCTGTTGTCTGCAGACATTTTGCGAGCACTGTATTAATGAATGGCTTAAGAAAAACACTACCTGTCCTTACGATAGGAAACCATTAACGAGGGACCAGCTATCGCGTGCACCAAGGTAAATATAACTTGTTTAATCATGTTCCTATTTACTGCACCTTATTGACAATAAAATCCTGCTATAAAAATATAATATAAAGAATTTATTAAATATAGTTTATTATATACAGTAATAACTATTAATAATAAATAAATTATTATATTACCTAAACGATTACGATAAAAATTTTTAAAAATTATGTGAAATAACATTCAACTTATGCTATTTTCTAAATAATCTATCATCATGTTTTAGAGTGATGGTAAACACACTGGGCAGGTTTAAAATACAGTGCGATTATTGGGAGAACGGGTGCCACGATTTGATCAAATTGGAGGACCTGCCACACCATACTGCCAACTGTCGCTATAATGACGTTAAATGCAACAAATGCCAGTGCGAACAGACACCGGGACACGACTGTATTGCAGCGTTACTGGAATTAAATAGCAAACTACTGGCAGAGAACGAGATGCTAAAAATAGCTAATTTGTCGTTAAAAAATGACCATGATCATAGTAGTGATAGTGGTGAGCATTCACTACAAGAGGGTCACCCTGTAGTGTCAACGGCTGAAGCAAATGCTTTGCCAGTGGATTATTACCATCAGTACAATGATAGTTGTGTCCATACACTACAAGAGAGACACTCGCCGGCACCTGTAGTGTCAACGGTTGAAACAAATGTTTTACCTACAGATCATGATCATTGTGGTAATGGTGGTGCTAGTTCTAGCCATACAGTACAAGGTGGACAACCATCAGCACCTGTAGTGTCAACGCCTGAAGCAGATGTTTTGCCTGTAGATTATTATTATCAATATAAGAATAGTGGTGTCCATACACTACAAGAGGGACACTCATCGGCACCTGTAGTGCCAACGGTTGATAAAAATGTTTTACCTACAGATTATAATCATCATGGTTATGGTGGTGCTAGTTCTTTATATAGACCACCAGAACTACAAGGGCAATACCCGTCGGCACCTGTAGTTTCATCGGTTAAAATAAATGGGTTACCTACAGATTACAATCATCAAGGTTATGGTTATGGTGGTGCTAGTTCTGTCTATAGACTACCAGCAACA